GTCTTATAGAGCTAATGGCGATAAGTGCGGCGGCTTGCGGGCCGTTACCGTCTTATAGAGCTAATGGCGATAAGTGCGGCGGCTTGCGGGCCGTTACCGTCTTATACAGCTAATGGCGATAAGTGCGGCGGCTTGCGGGCCGTTACCGTCTTATAGAGCTAATGGCGATACGTGCGGCGGCTTGCGGGCCGTTACCGTCTTATAAAGCTAATGGCGATACGTGTGGCGGCTTGCGGGCCGTTACCGTCTTATAGAGCTAATGGCGATACGTGCGGCGGCTTGCGGGCCGTTACCGTCTTATAAAGCTAATGGTGACACGTGTGGCAGCTTGCAGGCCTAATGGCGATATTTACGGCGGCTTGCAGGCCTAATGGCGATATTTACGGCGGCTTGCAGGCCTAATGGCGATATTTACGGCGGCTTGCAGGCTGCCCAGCCATCGATTTCCTCATGGAAAAATGGGGGACACTGTTTTCCTATATTCAAACTTAACAGCTGATGTACCTCTTCATAGTCTTGGCTAAACACACTTCTATGTTTCAAGCAGTTTTAACAATTCATTTTTATATGGAAATGGTGTGTTTGCTGAGTAATTATCATTTGTATCCCTTTGCAGCTTTAGGGCTCTTTGCTAATAAGTGCCCATCATTGTGTTCAGTGTAGCCAATTGAAATACGGCAATCGTGCAAACGGAGCTAAATGTCAGGGATTACTGCATGAGCTGCTCTTTAAATCGCATGGAAGCCGGCTTTTTACAGGAGCGCCTTTCCCTCAGTCTCGCTATTAAATTAGCCTGAATTGAAACAGGGTAGAACAAGAATCTTTCATTTCAATATTAGTGGCAGGTAATCAGCCTCAGACTTTAAATATATTATTGGTGGGTTATTGCTGTGTATTCTGGGGCTGTGTGGGCGTCTTCATAACCATGAGCAGTTCCAGCTCTCCACTCTCCATCCCCTCCCTGGCCTGTTTCTGAGCTGGCTGAGTGACTCTGACATACTCTGGGCTGATCTGTGACCTGCTCTGCATATGCTGCATCAATGTGGAAGCTGCCCTAGGAACATCACAGCCGTCCACCCTTTCACCTGATTGGTCTATGCAGCTTGCTCCGCCCTTTTCTCGGGGCTGGCTGTTGTCCATGTCGCATGCATCTCGGCTGCAGTGTCAAGTTGTGTCCAGTTGTTGTCACCTTGCCTCTGATCCTCCTCAGATCGGTCAGTGAGCAGATGCTGTACCCGTGTCTGCAGTGTCTGCACTGTCTGCTCTTCAGGAAGTTGGCGCTCTTGCTGTGTTCTGTCCGGCCCGCCGTCAGCCTCGCACTCTGCGGCTGTTAGCTGCTTCGGCCGCCGCTCTGGTTATCTGCGAGTTAGTCTGCGAGGTCGGCCTGCAGGTCGTCAATAGTCAAGTGCCCTGCTGGGTGGGGGGAGGGGGGGGCGGCGTCCCCGCTGCCAACCAAAATTTGCGTACTGGCCTCGGGGGGAATAACCAGGGTCGTTACCTACCTCTACACCTCTCCCTCACCCCCCCAATCACTTTCCTTCCAGATGCCAAGGAGATTGTCTTGAAGGCCCAGATCCTGGCTGGCGGCCGTGGGAAGGGCGTGTTCGACAGCGGCCTTAGAGGGGGTGTGCACCTCACCAAGGAGTGAGTATGTCCTTCCTGCAGCAGCCACCCGCACTGAACGCAGCGTCACGCGTCCCGTAACGTGTACCCAGCAGCTAATCCTGCATGTAACACACTTATCGGCAAGGGTGTCTTACATTCGCTCTCAATTACTACTGCAAGCCTAGATCCTCTAGTTGGGGGGTAATTCACTCACATTTGCCGGAAATGTCCGTAAAGATCCCTGGACCGAATCCCTCTCTGACACACACACTGCTCCGTTTGGCCGGTTAGCAGGATAGACTGGAAAAATCTGAGGACCTGATACAGATGGATCGATGCTTTTTATAGGTGCGGATGCACTAATACTTTAAAAAAATAAATAAAAATCCCCCAGAGTCTGGAATTAGGACAAAGGTGTTCTGATTTCCATCCCGCAGTCCCTTGGTGGTTGGAGAGCTGGCCAATAAGATGCTGGGCTTTCACCTGACCACCAAGCAGACCCCGAAGGAGGGCGTCAAGGTGAAGATGGTGAGTAAGGGTGACGGCTGCCTCTCAGCGCAGCGTGACGCAGCCATGATGCTCCGTTATAGCGGTGCTGCGATGGTCGTCAGCGGCCAGCCTCTGTTTGTTCTCACCTGTTTGTTTCCCTGTTCATGCCGCCTTATTCGCCGCCTCGCTCCCTGGCGCCGGTAATGAACGGCCGTTTCTATGCGGCGCTAGCGAGCCGGAGTGTGCAGTTAGTCATGCCCTATGTGGGGGAAACGCAGTCCCAGGTAATGAAGCGTTCCCGCCCTTTAGCTGCTGTGTGCAAGAAGCTCCCCCCCCCCCCCCCCGTGTAATACCGCCCAGAGCTCCCCATTACCGCTCGCTTTATTCCTCCATTTTTCTACTGCAAGTCCCTCGCTTCCTGCTTCATTCGTAAACTTTAGAGGAGGAATCGAAGGAGCAGCGCGTTTTAAAGACCTGCCTGAGGGAGGGATGTTCTCATCCAGGATCCTGGGTCCTGCTGAGTGCTGCGGAGGGAGAGGGTTAAGGCTGGGGGGGGGGGCAGATGATTTCATGTGTGCCATGTTTCTGATCACCTCTCCTTTAATCATACTCTCCTTTAAAACTTCAGTTGCATTGCATACGTATCATAAAGGATTTCTGGTGGAATTTGTATTAACCCCCCTTGTGAATTGGATGTCAGCTAGGCTAATGGCTAACAAGTAACCCCTCCCCAAAAACACATATATATCCCCCAGTGTAGTAGCTGTACTTTAGACGTCCCTGTCATGGCCTCGCGGTGCGGCGTTCCTCTCCTGACATGGAGCAGGTGCAGGGGAGCCGCATGCGATGGTGATAACGTGATTGATCCCTCCTGCATTGTGCAGGTTATGGTGGCGGAGGCCCTGGACATCAGCAGGGAGACCTACTTCGCCATCCTGATGGACAGGGCCTGCAATGGGCCCGTGATGGTGGGCAGCCCCCAGGGCGGCATGGACATCGAGGAGGTGGCCGCCCGCACCCCCGAGCTCATCTTTAAGGTGCTGCAGTCGCCAGCCGCCGTCATCTGACCCCTCACTGGTCTCTCTCGACACCGGTGGGCCGCCGCTCCAGTCACTGTCTTCTGTCAGTCCATTATCTGCTCGCTATACGAGTCCTTCATGAATTCAGCTTGTGTTTAGCAGGGCTACCAATTCCAGGCCGTGGGGCTGCTAATTACCCGTCACCTCGCGCCAGAGTAACCTGAGTATGCTTCCTGTTCCTCCGTCTTTTGTAACAGGAAGTCATAGACATATATGAAGGCGTGCGGGATGATCAGGCACTACGCATGGCAGCTAATCTGGGCTTCAAGGGACCTCTGGAGAGACAGGTTAGTAGCGGACAGCTAACCTGTGCTAATCTATAATAAATGCACGTTATTTATTTAGCGCTTTTGAGGGACGGCTACGCCAGGTAAGGGGCACAGCAGAGGGCTGTAGGGGTGCAGCTTGATTGGCATAATCGTGAGGATTACGCTGCACTCAGGGGAGCTACACAAAACGTCAGGCGTGTGTGCTCATCCAGCGTGCATCTGTTTGGGGGGTAACTACCTTCATGTAATGGCGTTAAATAATTAAATTACACTATAAATGTAATTGTAATCAGTGAGAAAATTATGCAATTAAATTAGTTACTGAGCAGAATGTTGGTGATTAAAAAGGGGTTGCATCCATATATATTATTTTCAGTAGAATACAGTATTCATTTTGTTACTTTGTATTTATTCACCATGTAGAAATGCCGCCTTTGATAGTGCAGGTCAGCAGAGCCGTTGGGACTTTTCTGCTTTATTGCCCAGTTATAAACATTTGTTAGAAAAGTTAGCAAATGTAATGTTACATCAAAATAGTTACATGACTTATTTCATTTTTAATAGGATACCTAGTAATCTGTAACCTATTACATATCAAAAGTAACTTTCCCCGGTAGGGCTAGTGTTGGATAGAGACTTCTTTAGAATAGTCTGTAAACAGCCACGTAACCGAAGTCTTATAGCCTACGACCTTCAAACGACCCGCACATCTGCATGTCTGGCTGATGCTAGCTAACAAACAGGGAGAGAATAAAGTGTCTATTAAGTGACTCATAAGCAGACTGAGGTCCAGTCTCATGCCTGATTTGTATTCCAGGTAAAATGCAAAGGCTTAGATTAGTTAAACAAGGAGGCGAGGACAAATATAGAAATCAGCTTGATGAATGTATTTTTAAGAATGCCTCAACGTATTCCTGGGGAAGTGCATCCTGCTCAGAAATGGTCCTTTATTGATTTTGCATCGATTTTGACAGCTTGGAGAAATTAACAGGATTTGCCAAGTGTCCGAATCCATCAGGACTGTTCTGCTTACTTAGTCTTTAATATGTATGTTAGTTCCAATTGTCTCTTTGATTTAATGGCAAAGTGCTGGGTTCCTTCCTTGAAGCACTGTAACATAATAAAAATACATTTTTAGCATTTTAACAGACAATTTTTTGTTTAATTAAAGTACCTTTATGTGCGCAGACATGAGATTCTGGCACAAAAAAATACTCATTTCATTTAAGAGCTGAGAGTAAGAAAGATATTTATCACTGAACACGGTATTAATTCTACCTTAACGGGTTACTTTAATGATGTCACAGTTTAATGATGATGTACCATATCACTTTTATGATATTCAAAAAAAAAATCAAAGGTGTAAAGAATCAGGTCTCCAACAGACATTATAGTCTGTGTTCTTGTACATACATGATTGCACCCATTGCATGTACGTGTGTGTCTGTGTATCTGCGTGCATGCATGCATGCATGCATGTGTGTGTGTGTGTGTGTGTGTGTGTGTGTGTGTGTGTGAGCATGCATGCATGAATGAGCGGTACCCATAAGGATATGTTTACCCTATGTGTGTGTGTGTGTGTGTGTGTGTGTGTGTGTGTGTGTGTACGGACACGCCTTTCTCAGTTTATGGGAGGAGCTGCACATGGCCGCTTGGCTTTTGAATGCTCTGCACTCCATGGGGCTTCTTCGCTCCAGGGTGATTAATTGCCCCCCTCCCCCCGGTTCATGCAGGCCGCCGATCAGATCAAGAGGCTCTATGATCTGTTCCTGAAAGTCGACGCCACTCAAGTTGAAGTGAATCCTCTCGGAGAGACCCCCGAGGGGCGAGGTAAGGTGCTGCTCCGGTTTCTCATCCCCCCCCCTGAAATACGAGCACATTAGCGCCTCTCCTGGCGGTTCGGGTACAAGCGTCTCCCCCCTGTGTGCCGTGTGCCAGTGGTCCCGGGGGAAACGTAACGGTGGCTTTCTTCTGATAAAGATTCCCACTTAGTTAGAGGGGGGGCCCCGGTGCTGACGCGGTGTCACCCCACATTCACGCCTCACGCTTCACGCTTCCTGCTTCCTGCAGAACTCTCAGGTGTGTAAGCAGGCCCTGTGTTAAGTGCGAACGCCATGGAATATCTTCCCATTTACATCTATTGCAAAACATAATGCTGGCAATGTCAAGTTGTCCACGCTGTTGCGGAACATATGAATAAGAGGGGGGGGGCCCTCTGACCGTGAGAATAACGAGGGGACCTCTTGCTATGATTAACAGTGGGCCCCCCTTGGCCCTTGGAATATGGCCCTTCCTTTCATTTTCTCCGCCGTAAACATGCAGAAGCGGGGCCCTCTTGAGTGTGATGAAGGATTTCCCCCTTCCCGCCTTTTCTCCTCGGGATCACTAATGAAGCGGCGTGGTGCGAGGGCGCTGTGAGGGCACTGCGAGGGTGCCGTGAGGGCGCTGTGAGGGTACTGCAAGGGTGCTGCGAGGGCGTTACGAGCGCAATGTGAATGCAAGGGCATGTAGAGGGGCCTTCTGGGGAGGCCGGTTTAGGCCCTGCCTGTCAGCATGGGACACTGTCTGAGCAGGCTCCACTGCCAGGGCTGGCCATTGGTCACGAAGGCTGGTGACACTGACATTGGGGGGGGGGGGTGTTTGGACCCATCTTCAGGATCATGAGTGTCGTGTATGTTGGTGAATGTACCGATTATGATGGGGATGCGTTTTTCGGCACTGCTCTGTGGAGTATGCAGACCACCCCCCTCTAGTGGGCGGGGGGAGGGGTGCTTTATCTGCCACGTCTCCAGCCTCCTTTATTGCTTTGGGGGCTGCGGTCTGGTTTTATTTCCCCGAGAAGAATCATTACCGGGTAAATTTACAGTGGGTTCCGGAAAGAGCCACTGTGTCGTTTTTCTGGCCTGGTTATGTGCTGTTGACAGATGTGAGCTCCCTTCAGCCCGTGCAAATGGCTGTTTTATTCTGGGGCCAGCAAACTGTGCAGGTCTTTACTGCCTGATGTGATGGTTACGGGGGGGTCGGGGTACAGGTTTTATATTTTATTCAGTATATGTCTGTTCCTGCTATTTAAACGGTCAGTGATGGTCGATGTCACACACGAAAATACAGTCATTCTTAATGCATGGGTGGCATGGTCTCTCAGGGGGGGTACTGTAACCTCACACCCTTAGGGTGGCATGGTCTCTCAGGGGGGGGGTACTGTAACCTCACACCCTTAGGGTGGCATGGTCTCTCGGGGGGGGGGGGTACTGTAACCCCCCACCCC